ACGGAGCCGAGCATCCCCGCGTCGTCCGGGGGGCACCGCCCCACCTGAGACCGCTCGGCTGTGTGCAAGACCACAGGGCCCCCTTCGTGAGGCCCCATAGGGACAGGAAGACGCCCCAGAACCGCCTGGACTGTACCGGACTCGTTGCATCGGTCCGCCTGGGCGCGTGTCAGATCCGCCCGCAGCCCCGCCATCTTTGTCGTGCAACGGTGAAGGAGGTGGAGGAGTTGGATTTCGGAGTAGCTCAGAGGGCGGTACCTGTCTTCGAGGTGTTTCGCATGACGTGGGCGGGATGGGGGAACACAGGGCGGGGTATCGTCGTGACGGCCCTGCGCCGCTCCATCATCCACACCAACTGAAAATAAGTAAGCAAGCAGCTCGTCCACGCACTTCGGCACCAAACGACGCCAAAAAGGATAAACTACCCGATCACCATTCGCATTGATATTGTTTGAACCTACAGCACCGCATTCAGATGAGTACCCGGAGCATAGAGACCCGCCAAAAGCCTTTTCTATGCGAGGTACAGTAGTGTTGATAAAATAATCCAGAAATGCATCTACACGGGCCTTTTCTTGGAGCTCTTCGTTGGAGCTCCACGCAGTCGTGACGTCATGTGATGGGATGGCGTAATACATCGGATACGCCAGCGCTAGCAACTTCCATTGCTTAATGCTTAATTCCATTCTTCGTTGAAAATGTGAGAAGGTATAAATATTAAAATTCTAGGTATATATGTGTGAGAGAATCCTTTCTGACTTTATATGCCACCAATTTAGCGCATGAGAGGGAAGCTATACCCTATCGGCTCCTGACTAAGATATACGTAGCAAACTCTTTGGTCACTTTGATATACCTTATCAAGGAGAGGGTAGGAGGGAGCTGAGAAATAATATAGAATGCATTAGCAGTCCTATGTTCATAGACACGTCTAAGAAGGACGATTTACGCATTGCCAAGACACTACAGCATGGTCACAATTTAACGCCAACAAAAGAAAAAATACCACTTTTGCTATCAACGATGAGAATTTTATCTCAACAGAACAAAAGCACTGTTGTATGCACTACCTCAAGCCCCTTTCCCTTTTTGGATGCTTCTTGCAGCTACGCATTTAGCTCAGACTTTCCAACACTAATATTTTATTCATACTAAAATGATGTTTTTTATTTTATAATTCTGAACTATAGATGTATTTATAAAATTTGGGCATGTGTGAGTATCTATGAAAGCTCTGAATCTGAACAGAAGCAGTGCTCCTGGTTTTGTTTCATAGAATCGGTAAATAGGTTACTATGAGCAGGGGTCTGATAATCCAATTTAGGTGATTTCACACAATTTTGCTTATTTTCATACTTAATGAAGATAAAGGACCCTGTGCTGCATAAATTATAAAATGAATAAACATATATATCATGACTATATTTACATATATACTTATGATTATACATGTGCTTATATGTATATAATAAATTATGGTTTACCCCTTCAAGCATCCGAAAGTGGGAAAAAATATCTACGGAGAAGTTTCAAGTTGTGCCACTCTTCACATATAAGGGCTTCTCCTCAACCTTGTCCGCGAGACAATACAGTAGGCGAATCCTAATTGCTAAAGCTGAATGTGATCCCGAATGAGAAACAACTCTCCCAAAACATGGAAAAACTCTAAATCCTCTCAGGATTTCCTCCATGGTATCCTCGCCTCGGATGCCCTCTTTCCCCCCGATCAAATTCGACTTGTCGGCCACCTCTTCTGACCACGAGCATGCGTCGATTTGTGTGTGCGGCTTAAAGGCATTCCACGGTGCCACACAGTTACACAGTTGTGTACTAATACCAATGGCTAGTAGGAGGAACGTCCTATCCTCACAGGAAATATCACAAGACGCATCACATGGTGAAATGACCCATTTGACGATGAGGAAAAGAAAAAAGTAGCAAAACGAGGTGAAATTTCCGAAGGAACGCTAAATGGCATGCTCCGCTGATCTGCTTCACACAGTCTACTATCACTGCTTGAGCCTTTGCACTTCAAACAACTAAATAGTGATAAATTCAAAGCATCCAACACATCAATTCATCCCAGAATTTAAGGATACTTCATAGGTTGCTTGGGGATAGACGATACAAAACTATCTCTTAAAGCAGTCGACTACTATGTATTACAGTTGCAATCAACGCACCGTCGACTACCGCAGTGTCCTCAGAGCTGGGTGCATACGGCAGGGGTCACGTAGAAAGACATGAGGCAAAAAACTGCATCCATTGAGCCCATAAGTAACCTTCTCAGAGGATACGAATGAAGTGGAAAAACGAAGTCATGATGAGCTTGGTGTAGCAGTAATAGTAAAGGACTTCAAAAATGATAGAATAATTGTTCTTCGCAGCTAAAGCAAGATGAGAAAATAAAATGAACCCGCATACGATAGAATCTTTGACTCTTAGTTACTATTTACTGCCATCACCTTTGTAAGCGATTCAATATAATTCTTAACCTTCGTTTGTGACAACATAGAAAAAAAGATAGTCATTTTAATGGAAAAATTGTATATATATTTGATGCAAAGCGTCCTCTGAGAATGTTGTAAAATAGTGAAAATGTCAATACACAAAAAACTCGTGCACAAGTAGAACAATATAGTTATTTCGAATTGATGACAATATAGAATGCGCTCCATACATGCAGTGTACAAGTTTCAAAACATGCGAAAATAGGCCTCTGCAACCTCAATGTCGGGTCAAACCCTTCCAGAACATGTGGCTTGCATCCCCCTTACACATCACAGTATTTGTGTTGAGTGTGGTGTGAAAGAAAAAAATATAAAAAATGTAAAAAAGGAAAAATGGGCTATTTTCCTTTCTTAAAGTTAGTAACTTGATTATCAATTTTATAAGATCAAAAGCACAAGAGAATCAAATAAATGTAGTGAGCAAATGGAACCCCTGTCACGTGATACACTCCCTCCCAAAAAAAAAATGGAATATCCCCTTCAAAAACGCAAACGCAGAAAAGAGGGTCCCCCACGACGGATGGAATGTTAAATAAATGAACACTACACGATGAGGGGAAAAATGCTGTAATAAAAACGAAACGAATACAAAACTCAGAAAATAAATAGACTAGTCTTTGAAATTCTTTCTGAGTATGCACATCGACATGAGTCCCTCTGTGTATAGTATAATTCTCGCAAAAAAAAACCTTTAAATAAATGTCAATGGGACCATCTAGTCGTTCTTTGTTCATCAATATAAAAGGAAAGAGCAAATAGTGCATGAGCATGAAATTTAAGCAAAGTAGCTTTTATTCTGAATAAAGGACCCAACGGGGGTACATATTCGTTACGGGGCACAACTCTTATCTTTTAATTCTTTATTCCTCATGAACTACATTCTTCGGGAGTTGTATACCTGGAAAAAGGGCCTTTAACATCGCCCTTCGTAATCTTCCTTAAAGAACACTCAAGTTACCGTATATGGCATTTACCTTTTCCGACGCGGACCTCTGAACCTCGTATGGAAATGGCTCCTCGTCGGTATCCTTTTCATTCCGAAACGTAGGGCCCTCCTCGCCGGTGTTGGGACGGCCGAACTTATTCAGATCGCATGCTAAATGTGGCTTTGGATTCCTCAGTGAGTATTTGTCTTCTTCCGTATCTGTTAAGGGTAACGGGCGTGGCTTCTTTTCGCGAGGTTGATAAAGCGACTTTGTTCTTTTCCACCTGTAATGAATTAGGTCGCTCTGTATGCTCTCAGCGGATATACTACTTTGATGTCGTAGTGTAAACTTCACGAGCAGGTAGGTGTCGTCCACAAAGAACCGCAAGTTCTTAATATTATCTTCCGATTCGTTCGTGGCGACGCTCGCGTCTTCAATAAAGCTCCTTGTCAACTCACTGCGCCGCTGTGTAAGAGGAATATCCCAATCGCATCCATGGAATTTCAAGGTGTGGTGAGAACATTCGAAGCCATCATGATCGATTTCTCGCTCATAACGTGGATAGAGGACACCATCAATGATGTGGCTCTCATCAACGGCATAGCTGAGGCACGCATCACCCTTGGTGTGGTTCTTAACACGGGGTTTAGAACAACACCCCTTCAACATCATATCACAAAGCCTTCTTAACCTTGCCCTTTGTAATGATCGAGGTGTCTCTGTAATAGCAAGCAAATAACTATGGGAAACGTAAGTACAATGAATAAAAAGTCTTTTGACTCTTGGTTTGTTGATCTTATATATTGTCTAGAATTTGAAAAACGCTCATGACAGATTTAAAAAATAAAAAACCGTTTAGGAAAATGAAGTGACAGAAAGTACCGAAGAACACTACGAAGAATTGTAAAAGATCATTTTTCAACCTTAATGATACTTGAAAATAATTTTTTCCCAACGATGATGCGCCAAGTCACGAGTAAACGAAAAGAAAATCCAATCGAAAAAAATTATATATGACTATATGCAGACATGCATATACATACATACATACATATATATATATGCGTACATTCTAAAAGGGTATGGTATAACATCATTCCAAATTTCTTCTAACAAATCAGTGGCACAATGCGTTCGTTAACTTTGTCTTTTTTCCCCTTTGGCACGTACCACCAAATCAAACAACTATATTTTTCTAAAATAATAAAACCACTTTGACATTACCATTACATATTATATTTGCTTGCTTACTTAATTTTCTTTGATTTCCCTTCCAAACGGTATTTGTAAATATAGACGAAATAAAAGTACTACTTATATAGGAAAAAAAATGAAAAATACAGGAATACCGAACCTAAATGATGCCAAGAAAAAAAAGCTCACACTGAGATAGCTAAGAAAATGTCATGAGATCAATTTGTCTTACATGGGATACCACTTTATGACATTCATTGCATCAATAAAATACTTTTCTTTCGATTGTTTTCACGATTTGAGAAGAGGCATCTTCACGAATTAATTGACAAGCCACCTATTCCTGTGAAAAAACTTTCCACATTCTTAAAAAGAAACATAATATCCAATAAAAGTGATATTTTGTTTGAACCCCGGCCCTGTTACTTCACCAGGATTCCATTCAAACGACGAAAAACTAGCCAAGAGGCCACAAAAATGGTTATCTAAGGAGTAAAACAGCGTGAAGGTTTCGTTAACCCCATTGTATTACCCTTCTTATGCTAAAAATATTCATAAAATGAGCGATAAAGACAACGACACTATTTATAATTGAAAGACTATCGGATATAATCAAACACGCATCAGCCAGGCTTCGCTTCACCCCCTCAACGTGTATATTATTATCTTTGAGTTGGGTGTATATAAATTATGAGGCCTCTTCTTGTATATAACGCCTTCTCTTCACTGACTACTTTTCGTGTTTTTTGTTAAGCCCGCTAATGCTTTTCCCATCATCCAATCGGTGAGACCAATGGAAATCTCTCTGGGGCTCCCATAAGCCCCAAGCTGCTCAGGAGACAACACTACCGCCCACCATTGGCCATCGCACCTTACTACAATGAAGAGACAAAAACACAACTCACGCTTGGCTTGAGCCACGGTAGCGATGCGTCCTGAGTTGACACCACTAGCAGATTTCAGCCGACCCCCTGAACGCATGGAGAGACTAGCTTAGCTTTTCAGTCGCTCTTGGGAATGCAGTGATACCTTGTCAAGGTTCTGTGAGTCCTTACGAGAGAGTTGAGCCCTTCCAGAATTCAGTGCCGCCCTGTCAAGGTTCTGTGAGTCCTTACGAGAGAGTTGAGCCCTTCCAGAATTCAGTGCCGCCCTGTCAAGGTTCTGTGA